TGATGATTTTGAGATGTTCTGTTTCTATTTCTATTTCCACCCACCCCTCCCCTATCCAGCGGGCACCTGGTTCGGCAACCCCTTCTACCTGATCAAGTGCCACCTGCAGTCGCGCTCCGATGCGCCCATCGCCGTCGGCCACCAGCACGGCTACGCGCGAATGCGCGACGGCTTCAGGGAGATCTACGCGGAGCAGGGCGTCCGCGGCTTCTGGACCGGCGGCTCGGCGGCCCTCCTCCGCGGCGTCGTCTGCGGCTCCGTCCAGATGACCACCTTCACCGTGCTGCAGAGCTACTTTGTCAAGAGCGGGGTAAGTGTGTCTTTGTTTAGATTTACAAAAGAGTTTCGATTTCTATTTCCACCCAACCACCCACCCACTCACCTCTTCTCAGATCTTCGCGCCCCAGAGCTGGACCGGGACGATGACCAGCACCGTGCTGAGCAGCTGCGCCCTCTGCCTGGTCTCCAACCCCGTGGACGTCATCTCGACGCGCCTCTGCAACCAGGAGGTCAATGCGGACACCCGAAAAGGGGTCACCTACCGCGGCATCACCGACTGCGCCCTGAAGATGTACCAGACGGAGGGCCTCTACGGCTTCTACAAGGGCTTCACCGCCTCGGTGATCAAGAACGGGCCGCACACCGCCCTAGCGCTCTTCTTCTGGCAGGTGCTCCGCAAGCAGTACGTCGGCCTCTTCAAGAGCGATGGGGGTGGTAAAGGCGGTGATGGCAGCAAATGAAAACAGCGGCGGTGGTGATCATCTTCATATCTCTCTCTACACACCGAAGCACATTGTTTGCCTTGCCCTGTTGTTTTGCATCAGGGCCACTACACATTTCGCTCCTTCAAATTAAATGCGTGCTTTTAAAATTCGTTTGCCATCAACTTCAAGATTCAAGAACTTGTCAGCGCAGCTTTGCAACTTTGGGTGGCGGTATCTGTTGCCAGTCTCTTCAACTACCACCACCACCACCACCACCGGCATCAGCTGATGATAAGTGGTCGGAGATAACAACAAACACTCTCCAACTGTTTTCCCGCTGTACGCTTTTCAGTTTGCGTCAAGGTGGCACAGCTTTTTACTCATCGCTTCCACAAAATGACCTTCCATTGTGATTGGGGAAATGTACTTCTTCTTTTTCATTCNCGCCCTCTTCTTCTGGCAGGTGCTCCGCAAGCAGTACGTCGGCCTCTTCAAGAGCGAAGGAGGTGGTGGTGGTGGTGGTGGTAAAGGTGGTGATGGTGGCAGTGGCAAATGAAAACAGCAGCGGTGGTGATCATCTTCATATCTCTCTCTACACCGAAGCACATTATTTGCTTTGCCCTGTTGCAGGGCCCCTACACTTTTCGCTCCTTCAAATTAAATGCGTGCTTTAAAATTCGTTTTTCATCAACTTCAAG